ATACCAAAATCCCAACAGGAGGCTAACTAAATAAATGTAACATATATGTTAATAGAATACTAGGCAGCCTTTATTTTTTTTATTTTTTTAAGTATACTTCATGCCTAGCATGGGGCTTGAACTCATGACCCTGAGATCAAGCCCTGAAATGACATCAAGAGTCAGATGTTCAACTGACTGAGCCACCCAGGCACCCATAGGCAGACTTTAAAATGTTGTTCTTAAAAACTATTTCAGTACATAGTAAGTTGTTTATACATATTGTTAAAAGACAGATTACACAGCATTATGTGTGGTAAACAGCCATTTATGTAAAAAACAAACAAACAGACAAATTAAAAAAACAACAACAACAGAGGACCAGAATGAAATACAAAGTTTCTGCAGAAAGATAAGTATTTAGGTGAGTAGTTCTTAACCTTGACTATGCATCAGAATCACCTGGGAGAATTTTTTTTAAATATGCAGATGCCTAGGACCCTCATCAAAAGTTTCCATTTCAGGGCACCTGGGTGGCTCAGTCAGTTAAGTGTCCAACTTCGGCTCAGGTCATGATCTCACGGTTTGTGGGCTCGAGCCCTGCGTCAGGCTCTGTGCTGACAGCTAGCTCAGAGCCTGGAGCTTGTTTCAGATTCTGTGTCTCCCTCTCTCTCTAACCCTCCCCTTCTCACGCTGTCTGTCTGTCTGTCTCTCTCTCTCTCTCTCAGAAATAAATAAAACATTAAAAAAAATTTTTTTAAGTTTCCATTTCAACTGGCCTGAGATGGGACCCAAGCATCAGTAGATTTTAAAACTGTACCAGATGATTCTAATGTGCAGGGCTGGGAGCCAAAGATCTAGGTTTACAAAGCGAGACGTAGATGGATGGATGGATAGATAGATAGATAGATAGATAGATAGATAGATAGATAGATATTAGATAAGATACATGGATATATAAATGAGATAGATAGACAGACTAATAATAGTTTTTTAAGAGAGAGAAAGGGTTGGTAGGTTAGATAGACAGTAGATCTGAAGGGAAGAAGGAAGGAGGGAAAGGCAGGGAGAAGAAAGAAAGGAATTTGGGATGACACAGCCAAATCAGAAATGAGTCATAATTCAATCCCCAACTGAACAAAGAGAAGGAAACAAAAATGAATGTGGAAAAATAAAAAAGTGAATCTGTCTAGCTGCAATGAAATTTATGACTTGTCTCCTCTCTTTTATTATTTTTGTTTACAGACCATACACCCTACACTTCACAAGGATACCTGTGCTGTCTCAGAAGTCAATGGATGGAGAATGACTGCTTAATGTGTCAACAGTTTCCTTCTGGGGTGATGAAAAAGTTCTGGAGATAGAGAGGGGCAATGGCTGCACAGCACTGTGAATGTCACTAATGGTAAATTTTATGTGTGTTTTACCAGCATAAAAAAATACATTAAAGAAAGATTGATTAAAGATGTTATGGAGAAGGTGGCACCTGGGTGGCTCAGTTGGGAAAGTGTCCGACTCTTGATTTCGGCTCAGGTCACGATCTCATGGTTCTTGAGATGGAGCTCTGTGCTGACAGGGCAGAGCCTCCTTGAGATTCTCTCTCTCTCTCTCTCTCTCTCTCTCTCTCTCCTCCTCTCTCTCCTTCCCCCACTCACACTGGCTCGCTCTCTCTCAAATAGTAAACAAACAAACAAACAAATAAGATGTTACTGGGTAGTTGGGATGAGGTAATTATTGCCTCCAGTACTAAATTTGTTCCACGGCCCCTAGAAGTTAAGGCAAAAGAAGAAATCTGGCAGGTTATCAGGTTCTCCGTATATTTTCTTTGTATATCAGGGTCTCGCTCTTGTTTCATTTTACCCACTCCCTGAATTGCATACCCCGTGAGTGCAAAGAGCAGAAGTCCTTTGGAAGGTTTGACTCAGCGAGGAAAGGAAGACTTGCAGTGGCTGGGAGAGGCAAGTCAGAGCCCAGCTCCTTCCCCACTGGGGCACTCCGCATCTGCTCAGAGCCTGTCATCAAACTGCATCAGAAGAATAGCTCCTGCCACGCATGGCCTCTGCTGGTGGGTCTGAATGGCTGTTTGTTCAGCCTGAGAAGGACAAAATCAGCCCTGACAGTGATGGCCCGGTCGGTATTATGTAAGAGGACCCAGCTTACTTGCCCATAGACAGACAAAGCAGATGATTTGACAGGCAAAACAGAGGCAGCCTCTTCACTCCCAGGCAGCCAAGGGGCTATTCAAAGCCGGGACCTGGAAGATTTTCATGAGGTGCTGACATACGAAGCCGGAATGCAGCAGGAACAAGGCAAAACTGACAGCCCGTGCACTCAGGCATGGCAGCAACTCCGGGCATCCAAACTGGGCCTAAGGGAGCTTTGAGTAGGCCCTACCCATGAGAGAGAGACAGAGACAGACAGGCAGAGACAGGGAGAGACAGAGAGCCCAAAAGAGCACTTTGGGGGAGAGGGCCCAACTTTCAAGCCTGAGCCTTCAGCAAACCTCACCTTTGCCACGACCCTTATTATTGTTCAGCTGAGGAACATCTTCCAGGCCTTCCTCAGGGGAGCACAGGACTCAGATGCAGAGAGTCAGGCCAGGAGTACTTGGCCCCTTCAGGTAGGACAGCAAAGAAACACATATCAGGTGCTCACTGCATGCAGGGCACTAGCAGGAACTCGGCTCCCAGGCACTGGTTTCCCCTCCACAGGAGCCCTGTAAGGTAAGTACCCTGTGATCTCTATTTTGCACATGAGAAAACAGTCTTCAGAATAGTAATGTGGCCAAACTCACACAGCTGGGAAGTGGCAGAGCAGGGATTGGAGCCCAGGTCTCTTCAGCGCCCAAACCTGTACCCTTTCTACCTAAACTGAGCCACTTCACAAGATCCACCAGGCCCTGGAATCACACTCTGTTTTCAAAGTGGCACTGGCACTTTCCAGTTCTGTGACTCTGGTCATATCCCTTTCCTTCCTGGGGACTCAACGCCTGCATCTGCAGTGTGAACAGCTGGGGAAACCCGAACAAGACAGCTAGGTGAGGATGGCTGGTTATTCACTGGTGTTAGGGTGGCATCACCAGCTTCATCAGCACACTTTCCGACTCTTCTCAAAAACGACCCCCATCCCCAGGAGGGGTTGCCTGACCTACAGGGATAACACTTTATCTGGTCCCCTCTTAGGACTCTGAAAGAGCATTCTCTGCCCAGTGTCATGAGCAACTAGAGAGGATTGCACCTGACTTGTCTACCTCAAAAACTGTCAGCACAGAGCCCAGCATTGAGTAGGGACGCAATAATGCTGTTGAATGAACGAAAATGTGAATGAGTGGTTTGCCACAAAACACATCATGTGTTGTGATGAAGGGCATCAGACCTGGTTCTGGCTCCACCACGAACACACTGTGTGGCCTTGGGCCACTCACTGGCCCTCTCTGGACCTCAGCAGCCACATTTATAAAATGGAGGGGATGAATTGGTACTCTCTAGCAGCCCATGTCAGCTCTGATATTGCAGAGTTAAGGGAAAAGAAAGATCACACTTTCTGCAGCCCACCGTCCCCTTCCTCATAAAAAGCTGGAGCTATATTATGATCACATTTGAGAATAGTCAGGGAACATTCAGATCCGTAACCCCCAATTCAAACAGAAGCAGACAAGCAACATTCTCAACAGCCAGATCTTCTAATCTATGGAACAGAGACTTGTTGATGTGTGCACAGTGCTCTACAGTTTGCAGAGCACTTCCCCTCCTTCCTGTCATTTAAACCTCAACACAACCCTATGAGGGGGACAGGACAGAGGTCACCATCCCATTAATTGACTACAAAACTGAGGTCACAGGAATGAAATCCAGGAGGACCTCATCCCCGGAAGGGATACGGAAAAAAAAGCAGCAGAGTTGACATGTGAACCCAGAACCAACTCCCGACCCCAAATCCTGCCTCCTTTCCTTTACACAGCTCACTTGCACACATTTAGTCAAGAGGAGATGAACTCATTCCACCAAAACCAGATTCGGAGGGTCACGAGTTTACCACCTGGGTGGAAAACTGCCCAGCATTTTAAAGTCAAATTTGGGGTAGGCTGGTGCAGTGCCCTGATACCAGGTGGGCTGTAGCCATGGAAAGTCAGCTGTACAGGAATGCAGGAGTCCAAGCCCGTGCCCAGGCATCGCATGGCATCCTGGTACAGCAGCCAGAAGGATGAGCCACATGCAATCTCTGAACATTGAGATACTGAAATACTGAGATGTGCCATAGCTAAGCAGTGACTGCCCAAACTCCCACCCCCACACCACCCTTGCTCCCAGCATGTCTTGGTTGTCTTGGAACCTCCCCTGGGATTCTCTGGAAACACAAAGATGCTACAACTATAGGGTTACAGCCTGAAACCTTGGGGAGGGATGCTATAGTGCAGTCCTTCATTCTGATTGGCCCATGTTCCAGTGCATGTATTCTGATTGGTCAATACCCCTGTCTTGTTGGCTTGTTTTTTTAACAGCTTTATTGAAGTATAATAGGTACACAAAAAAAGCATAGTTAATGCACTCATTTTGATGAGTTTGGATATATGGATACACTGGCAATGCTATCACCCCAAATAACATACATATCTATCTCCTCCAAAAGAATCATTGTACCTGTGTGTGTGGTAAGAACATTTAACATGAAATGTACCCTCTTAACAAGTTTTTAAGTGCACAACACTGTATTGTTAACTCTAGGACATATTGTGGCACTATGTCCCACAGCAGATCTTCCTAACTTACTCATCTTGTATAACTGTAACTTTATACTCATTGAATAACATCCTAGTTTTTAAATATGTTTAATATTACTCCATCAGGCTAGAGAGATGATAATCTCTTAGTGTTTCTCAATCATTTTGACAAATTATTTTCTTGACAAGTATAAATTCCACAGTTCTCAAAACATGCACACATACATGTAAGGTAGATATACTTTTTTATAAGCACTGAGAAATGTTTCATGTCCGAAAAATGACCAAAACTTCAGTATCATCTGTATATGAATTTGCATTTTATTTGTGACACAACTTTAATGAAGATCTATGAATGTTTTCATCAAAAGACAATGTCTAGTGCTCTTAGAGACTGGAGCAGACTTTGCAGTCTTCTTTTTCATGGGGTACTAATCTTGCCAACCAAATCTTCCTCCTTGATGTGATAGCTGAAGAACCTAAGGCTGGAGAGGAAATTTCACCTTCTCAAACCCGCTCACTACTTGAAGCTAAAACTTGAAGTGGTTTCACATCCAAGATTTATTGTGTCTATGGGTGTCATACCCATATAACAGGGGTTTCTCACAGGACAGAAGACATCTTGGGCCAGGCCACCAGTGACTTTCATTATGGGGCAAATGTCATTCATGGAGGCAGCCAGAGCAAAGACCTACAGTCCTCTTACATAGAGAGGTTGACCTTACAGAGGCCACTGAAGCCTATCAGGTGTGGGGAAGGTGGGAGGTTTGGCAACACAGCTCAAGCTCCAAAGAGAACGCAGGCTACCACAGTTAAAGACCTGAGTGATGGAGGAGTTGCACTTCCTAGTGACCACTAGAACTTGCTCAGAGAAATCTCCCTGGCCCCGGGGGCAAAGGATACTGAGAGGCAGTGGCAGAAGTGGAATAATACACGAATATACAGGTACTGTGATAAAAGACCTGAGCATCTGGCAAGAAACAGAGCTTAAATCAGTCTCAGGTATATGGTCTTGGCCAAGTTATATTTGACTTCTTAGATCTTGATTTCTAAATCTGTAAAATGGGGGGCGCCTGGGTGGCTCAGTCAGTTAAGTGTCCGACTTCGGGTCAGGTCATGATCTCCTGGTTCGTGGGTTCGAGCCTCACATCCGGCTCTGTGCTGACGGCTAACTCAGAGCCTGGAGCCTGCTTCAGATTCTATGTCTCCCTCTCTCTCTCTGACCCTCCCCTGCTCACGCTGTGTCTCTCTCAGAAATAAATAAAAAACATTAAAAAAATTTTTTTAATCTGTAAAATGGGACTGTTCTGAGTACTGATTAAATGAACTAACTTATAGATCCTATCCAAAGCCTGATACAGGTACCCTGCTCAACAAATGTTCCATTTCCCAGAATCATCAGGAACAAACCAGAACTACAGCCTGACAGTTGGCTCAGAACCACTACTTCTTTCTGAATGATAATTCTTTCCAATCTGTTCATTTGTTTTTCTTCTGTCCACTTTTCCAGCCCTTTGTCCGTTTACTTCTCCTCTCCAGTCTTCCTGTAACCAGCGTTACCCCAAAGCAATTTCAACCTCAGATGGGTCAGTTCTGCTAGGCACACCCAGCTAAGCCACACCCAGATTCCCGACCCATAGAAACTGTGAGAAAATGTTTGCTGTTTTAAGCCGATGATTTGGGGTTAATTTGTTACACAGCAATAAATAATAAATATATTATTAGTCATGAGGGAAACACAAATTAAAGCTACAGTGAGATAACAGTACATATTCACTAAAAAGGGTAAAATTTTAAAAGACTGAACATATCAAATGTTGGTAAGGAGATAGAGCAACTAGAATTCTCTCATATACGGCTAGTAGAAATGAATGAAATACAGCCACTTTGTGAAAAAAGTGTAGCAATTTCTTAAAAACCTCAACATACATCTACCATCTGACCTCGCCATTCCTCTCTTAGGTATTTACCCAAGAGAAATAAAAACATGTGTCCACACAAAAACTTCTACACAAATATTCATAGCAACTTTGTTTGTAATAGCCAAAAATGGAAACAATCCAAATGTCCATCAACAAGTGAAAAAGATAAACAAATTGTGGTATATCCCTATAATAGAATACTAGTTAGCAAAAAAAAAAAAAAATTTAAGGAAATTGACTATTGATATCACAACATGGATGAGACTCAAAATAAATATGGTGAGTGAAAGCAGCCAGACAAAAAGAATATGGTGTATTATTCCATTTATATAAATTCTATAAAATGCAAAATAGTCTATAGTGACTTAAGGAGATCAGTGATTGCCTGTGGACAGTGGCAGGGTGGGTCAGATAAATCAACCACAATGGTACAAGGAAATTTTAGGGGTGATGGATATGTTCATTATCTTACCTTTAAAAAAATTTTTTTTAACGTTTATTTTTTAGAGAAAGGGAGAGACAAAGCGCAAGTAGGGGAGAGGTAGAGAGAGACACACACACACACAGAACTTAGAGCAGGCTCCAGGCTCTGAGCTGTCAGCACAGAGCCCAATGCAAGGCTAGAATCCATAGGCCACGAGATCATGACTTGAGCCAAATTCAGATGCTTAAACGACTGAGCCACCCAGGTGCCCCTTGATTATCTTGATATGGTAAGTCGGGAGACTTGGAGACAATTTGGTAGTACTATATTAAGAGCCATAAAAACACTCCTGGCCCCATAAATCTCACTCTTAGGAATTTATTTTAAAGGATATTTCAAAAGAAATAAAAAGCTCCTTATACAAACACCTTAATAGTAGGATCACCTATATCAAAGATATTGGGAATTACCTAATTGCCCAGCTAGTGTGACAGGGTTAAATCAACACTAGACCATTATACTCACAATTATAGATGAAAAATGGAAAGTAAGGGGCAACATGTAGTTATGTTTACAAAATAATGCAAATGCATTGTGTACAAAGACTACAGAATTGTACATACACAATGATTACACCTATGCAAACATACATACATGTGTAAGAACACAAAGGAGAAAAACAACAGACCATAGGGAAACCTAGTAGGTGAATGATAGGTAATTGGCATGTGAGTGACGTTTTTCTTCCTGTTTTGTCTCCTGTAATGTTACAATGTTTTCATACCAGTTTTTAAAATATTTCCTTTGTTGGTTTTGGCTCAGTCTCCCAACCTGGTGATTATTCTGAGTCTTGCATCTATCAGCTACCCGCATCAGCACCTCAGTGTGGTCAGCCACAAGCTCAATCAGCTTGCTGTCTACGTCTTCTAAATCACGGACAAAATGCTTAACAGAACTAGGGTGTGATGGAAAGGACACACTCTTTCCTTCTTGGAGAAAATTTTCCATTGCTGTCGGTCTGTTTTATTTCAATATCATCAATGACAGAAACCCAGATCCCACTAGGGGGTGGTCAGCAAAGTGAACCTAGAAAAAGAGATAGAGCTGCTTATCTGAGTTTGGACCATCTTATTCATTGGGGGAAAGCTAGTCCCAATCATCGCTGGCCAGAAAACTGCCCTCACAGTCAGAAGCAGCTCCACAAACCACAGATAGGAAATAGTAGGCGTCTATGAGAAAGTTAGAACATGAAAAACTCCTGGCTAGAGCTCAGGAAAGCTGGAAAGCCACATACACCCCCCGCGGAAGGTAAGAGCCCCTAGAGGAACCCCAGCAGCAGTCTCTCACCTCCTCCCTACTCTTGGAGTATGTCCAAACATACATCAGGAGGGCAAGCCCGGATCCCCTAACTGGCCCCGCAGCCCCTGGAATTCTACCCTATGGGTGGAGCACATGGACAGCTCCGGGACTTAAAGAACATGCCTCTGAATATACCCAGCTCAATGCTGAAGCCTTCCCCAACCCTCCTGCCAAAAGGCTGGGCCAGATCTGCCTGGGCAGAAACCCAGATTGCAGGCAAACCCAAGGCCCTTCCCTCATTTCCTGCATATCACCTGCGACACCCCTCTTTCTGTAGCCACACACCAGGCTAGATGGCATAGCTAATCATGCCTTTCAGATCCAGTGCTCTGCCTGCTCTCCTGGATGTACCCCCAAGGCCCAGTTAGCGACAAGCCTGAGAGCTACAGATGTCCTGATACATTCATGTATTTAAGTATGTAAAGAGTTTTAAAACAGTGTGTGCACATAAAAGAGTACTGTGATATCAGTAACCTTCACAATTTTTTCATGACATTAGTATCATCCCCATTTTATAGATCAAAAAGTTGAGACTGAGAGTGGCTAAGTGGCCAAAGGCCACACAGCTAGAAATAGGAACTGACCCAGGAGTGAGTGACTCTAAGTAACTGGTTCTCACAGCAGAGCCACATTGTGCCTTGTGCCAGGCCCTGGGCTGGTGACCCAGGTGCCCAGTTGCACAAAGTCCCAGTTCCTGCCACTAAGGAGCTCCCAGAGAAGAACAGAGACAGTCACATTAACCAAATCATTAAACCACCAAACATGTGACAAATGCCCAAATCCAAACATGCTAGGGCAGGTTCAAAGAGGGAGTGTTTGACTTACTCAGGCAGAAAAAGGAGGACTTCCCAGAAGAGGAGACATTTAAGCTGAGGTGGGGGGTTGGGGGGGCAGCTTTTCCAGGCTGAGGGCATGAACTTGTACAAGGGGACTGGAGAAAGCTTGCTGGAAGTCCTCCCGGAAGTTGGAGGCAGTGAAGACCAAGAGAAAGAGAAGGAGCAGAAAGGGGCTCCATTGTGTAGCCAGGCCAGGGAAGGGGCATGTGATCTGGCCTTGGATGAAGGGGAGCCACTGAGGATCTTTAAGCAGCCAAGTGGCCTGGTTTCTGCAGAGACAGTCAGTGGGAGTGCCCTGCTGAGGACTATTTGGAGCCTTAGACTTGTCTGGAAGGGTGGAGCCAGATTACCGTGTTCCTTCACCTTCGGCAGGCTCAGCAGGGGTAGGGGTTGTAGCGGGGGACTCTGAGAGGCATTTGGGCAGAAAGGCCAAGTATCAGGACTCCCACCAGCTGCAGCATCCTCCTGGCTGGACATCCCTCCATCCCTCTTTGCCACTGTCCACACCATCCCCTGGGAGGGAAGAGACTGGCGTGGGCAGCCTGGCCCTGGCCGGAGCGTGCAGGCCCCTTTACTTCCCACCAGTGGGCTGGAAGGTGAGGACGGGTGCAGTCCTACTCATACAGAGGTAGAAAGACAGATGGTGACACCAGAGAGACACACCCCCAGGCCTGGAGATATACAGAGGCCCAAAAATGCCCTAAGGAAAGGGGCCAGAGGAGAGTTGGACCACCTGCACGTGTTTCCGGGGTACACTGTCTTCCAGTTCCCCAGACCATGGTCCTGAGCAACCAGCCAGCCAGCGGTATTGGGTTCACAGGGGGGACCTGCCTGAGGCACCCTGCCAAGCTCTAACCACCCCAGTCCCACCCCACCCCCCACCCCAGGAACCTGGACCCAGCTGCTGGCAGGCCATCCTGATGAGCTCCGTGCCAGGCGGCAGGGGACCTCAAGGATCCCAGTCAGAGGCCTCGGTTCTAGCCCAAGCCTGGCCTGAAGAGGCGGAACAGGTCACGGTCTCTTCCTGTATGCCTCAGGTGGTTGAAGTAGAACGCTGCCTAGTGCATTTCCCCCTTGAGGGAGAAAGGGAAGCGATCAACAGCCGCTTGAGATTGTCTTACAAACCAGGGACTCTGTCTCCCGACATAAACATCCATAATTTCCCGTGCCAATTGCGGGCTCCTCCAAGTCTCAAAGCCCGTGCATAGAGCGCGGAAAAACTATGAAACCCGGCCGCCTGACGATCCCAGAGGGCTGCTCCTGCGCCCACGGTGCCAAAATCTAAGCGACGTGCGCCCGCCTGCCAGGCTGAGAAGACCCAGGTTCTTGCCCTCATCGCCATCTCAGACTAGGTCCTCGCCTTTCCCAGGAGAGGCCACCGCCACCGCCGAGCTCTCCTCCGCCCGGTGGCCGGCTCTCTCTGAGCCGACGAGGATCTCGCCGGAGTGCCTCGGCCCTGGCAGGGAACGCTCGCTGAGCGCAGAGCAAGAGTGCGGCGCGGGCAAGGTCGAGGCCGAGCTCAGGCTGGGCTTTGTCCCAGACTTGCCGTGCGAGGTGGGCCAAGTCCGCGCGCCCTCGGAGCCGGCGTGCCCAATTCGCCGCCGCGGCTGAGCTCCTGGATGTCCGAGTCGGCTCCTAAGCTCCCCGCTTCGGGAACTGGTGGGTAGGGTTGGAAAACGGTTGTGGAGCAGGGATTGGGAGCAAAGAAAGACTCGAGGCTCTTCGTCAGGGTGAGTCGGGAGGCTGGTGGCAGAGCTAGCCAGGCAGGGTGGCGGGAAGCAGAAGGCGCCCCTCTCTGAGACCCAGTTCTTCCATTCTGTCTCTGAGAGAGACTATAATTCTGCGTTCACGGAGTTTAAGTGAACCCATGACAAGAAGCGCTCAAAGTCCGGTTGCCCCGACCCAGCTCCAGGGGTCCCTGAGCCGCGCTATGCGTGAAAAGAAGCCGCTCAAGGGGCCTCGAAGTCTAAAAACCCTGGGTTAAGCTGCAGAAAACATTGTAATTTCATCAACCGCTGCTTTTTCAAGGAGTGTGTCTTATCTCCGCTCATGAATGAGAACGACTTGACTTTCCCCCAGCAGCTTGTCTTTTTTCCACATCGAAGTTTCACCCTGAAAACAATTTAAAAGACGGAGGAAACAATCACGGGTCAGCAATGCGTACTACTCCATCATCTCGATTCTCCGGAAGAGGCACAACAAGGTAGGGGATGCCCCACTTCACAGATGGGGAAACTGAGGTCTAAAAGGGCAGCGGATGGCTCAAGGCTGCTGGGCCAGTAATGAGTGTGACACGGACTCCTTTTGTGGCAGCGTCTTGTTCTGATGTTCTCTGAAGCCATAGAGCCAGCAGACCCTGACTTATTGTCCCAGAGCAAACCAAACAGAGGTCACTATATTCCTGAGGTCCCAAGATTCTTGGATGTGATTTTGCAAGCATCAGGGCCTGAAGTTTCCATTGTCATTTGCTAAGGAGAGTGATTCAGGCCAGGCCAGTAAACGCAACTGAGGCTCTGAGAGCTTGGGGAAAGACAGAGAGGCTGAGGACCCAGGAGGTAAGGAGCCCAAGACGCAAGCTTCCCTTGAAGCTCACTACCTCCTCTGCAAGACTTTAAGTAATCCTTTAAGCAATCTGGGCCTAGTTTCCTTCCAGCTTGTATTTCCAAGATTTCCTTAGGAAGAAGAGCTAGTTACCTTTGCATCTGCATGAAGGGCATTGGGTCAAGAGATACGGAGGAATTTTCCATAACTCCATGGATCCCCTCCTTCATATTTACAAACCTTCCAAGGACACTTTAAAACTCGGGAAAGTAGTTGCTGGGAGGAGAGCTGCAAGGTCTCCTACAGACCACCAGCATTCCTCCCCTCTCCCTAAAAACTGAACGTAAAATAGCCTTTGGGGGTTTTCCAAAGGGGAATACACGCAGGGCTGGAAGCAGGTGCAAAGGAGATGGAAATCACCCAGCAGCCGCCCACATCGGCATCAGCCCACCCCTGCTAAACTAGGAAAATAATCTCCAAGCTTCCAAATGGTTGTCCGTGGTGTCTGCTACCCCCACAGATGCTAAGGAAGACTGCACCAGAGAAGAGGGCGGACTTGACCAGAGAAAAAATGCCCTGGCATCAAGGGGGATCAGTTTGTATAGTTTTCCTAATTCAGTTTTTTTGCATCATGGATTTATGGAATCTTCAAAGTACAGATTTTTGAAATATGTTGTTTAAATAAAACGTCTATGGAATAGAATCTTTAGGCTCCTTTGAGCATGAAAATCTTGACCTTAGGAATGCTAATCTCAGAATGCTAATGTTTGGTCTGATGCACAGGTGTAATTCTGTAGCAGCAAAATCTGAGAAAGAGGAATCCGAATTCTAGAAGAATGGGTTCACGGACACAAAACTTTGAGGATCAAGAAATCCTGAGACATGTGGCTTCTAACTACTGTCATTGGGGTTTAAAAGTAAAGGCTCATAAACAAAGGCAAATGAGTATGCATAAATTAAGGGCAATTGCCTTAAAAAGCAAAGTGCTGCAATTGTGTGAAACATTCCTGGTTTTGGAGTTGCAGAGAACACTGGAGATATCCTCAGTAATAGCAGGCTTTCATCTTTGAAAAGTAGATTTGCCATTTACTTTAAGAATGACAGATAAATTAAGGAGCTGAATGTGAAAAAAAAGACGCATAAAGTCATAAGGCCAATCATTAAAGCATATAGTCACAAATATTATAAGAATTATCAGAATTAGAGTTCTTGAGTTACAGAATAGTGGATCCAGTACTGACAGTTGGCAATTCTTTGGATCCAGTACTACTAACATTTTAGAATTAAGAAAGAACAGAGGTGTGGATTTATAGGACCTAAATCTTCTAATCAGGCATTCCTAGACAGGAATTCAAATTAAGTAATATATACTTTAGAATGGTGAAAATATCTAAAGACGAAGGAAGTTGCAGCTTCCAGTAGTAGCATCATATTTTCAGGCACAAAATCTTCGTCCCAGCATCTCGAAATATGAGGGCTACGCTTTTACATTTGACCAGAAGCTTAAAGTCATAGGGATATAATCACAGTCAAAGAACTTAGACTTCTGGTCATGGACTCTTAGAATTAGAGAATCACATTAATTGATTTATGGGAACGCGTTAGGATAGTGGTCCAAAATTAAAACTAGAACCACAAAATCCAGTACTGAAATATTGTTATGATATAATCTAGTTAAAATAAAAATTTAAACCCCCCCCCCTTTTACAAAAAAATGTAACCGTGAAATCTGGATTTTCGCATTTTCGTTACTTTGTTAGAAGGAAACAGTTTTGCTGAACGGGTGAAAAAGCCCCTCTCCAGTCGTTAGAGCACCCATCCACTGAGGAGGGTCTTCATGCAAACCGTGTTTCTGTTTACAAACCCGGAGCGGCCAAGCGGGGATCTGGGCTCTCTACCTCTTTCTTCCGAAGGTAGTTGCTCAGTGCTCAGCCGAATGAACCTACCGCGAGCTCACCACTACGAAGGACGCGACTTAAACCCCTGGACGACCTGCCGCCCGCGCTCTGGAGACTTGCTCCCCACGCCCTACCCCCACAGCCCCGCGGAAAGCTGCACCCCCGCTGCAATGTCTGGAGTCGGCGCCAAAGTCCGGACTCCTAAGGGCAGAAGGGGCTTCCGAGGTTCGCATATGCCCTGCTGCCCCAAATGCACGGAGGAGAAAATTGAGGCCCCCCCTTGGGAGAAAGGACTGGCCCAAGGTGTCCCCGCGCCAGACCACAAAGCGAACCCAGGGTAAAGAGGCGCCCGCAGCTGGGAGTCTCTCTCGGGAGAGGCGGGAGGTCCCGCCCTAGGGGATGGCCGGAAACGAACTCAGAAACAGGACACCCGCGAAGCAGACGGGTCCCATCTGCCCGCCCTTTCCCCCGGGAGACGTGCCCACCTGGAGGCCCCTCACCTCGGCCCCTGCCTCTCGCCGCCCTCGCGCCCTTTTGCGGGAAGGGGCTGCTCGGCTGCCCCCGGGGGTCCTGGGAACCACTCGGAGCCTCCCTGACCTGGGTGAACAGGAGGAGGAGGGAGGTTACTTCGAGAGGACAGACGCCTAGTCCTTGTCCTCTTTACGCTGTGTGCCACTTTCCGTCATATAGAGAGGTCCTGAGTCACCCAAAGACAGAGGGTTGGTGGGGTGTGGCCTTCCCCTAAATATCGGTAACGGAAGATCTCTTGAGGTGCAAACCCTCCGTGCAATCGAGGAACCTGGGGTCCAAAGAGAGAAAGTGGCTGCAAAGCGCAGTCCTAACAGAGACGCAGGTGCGAGGCTCCGCTAAGCGGCAAAGTCGCGGTGAGGCCACAGGGCAAGTCACCTCCCCTACGAGGCCTAGGAACCCCCGTCTGAAAGATGAGGGAGTGGACCGGCAAGGGGCAAGGCAGCCCTGACTGCGATTTGAAAATCATCCTTGAAATACCTTTAGAGCCAGCCACCTGGAAGGTCTTCTCCCTTCCCCAATCCCTGCCCCCCAAGAACCAAGAGCCCCCTCCGCCAATTCTCACCCTCTCTGGACAATAAAAAGCGTAGCGAGCCCGTCCTTTCACCTGCGGGTCCCAGCCCTCTGCAGAGGCTGGTAAAGTCCAGAAGCGCTGAGTTCCGAAGCCGAGGTCTCCGGAGACAGTCCCTGGGCTCTCCCGGCCTCAGTCTCCCCGTCGGCGCGCAGGGAGGCCGGCCCGGGGCGATCTCCGAGAGCCCTCCCCGCTCTGACGTTGTGGGGCTCCCGCCGCGCCTCCTCCGCTGCTCCCACCTGCAGAGGTGCGCCCGGGACAGGGGGCGGGAAGTCGGGGGGCGGGCGGGGACCGGGCGCCGCCCCAAGCTTCCTGGCGCCTTTAAGGAGAGAAGCCGGTGGAGGGAGGAGCCGTCCGGGTGTGTGCAAGGGAGCGCCTCGCCTGCGGTCTCGGCGGCCGGAGGCCAACGCCGCGGAGAGGAACAGTCGCCGCGCCTGCACCTCGCCTCCTTACCCGCCACAGGCTGGGCCGCAGAGGTGCGGCCTGGGCAGCCCCCACCGAGTGCCCCAAGTCTGCACTAACAGCCCTCGCTTCAGGCCTTCGGGCCCGCAGCCTCCTCTGGGCGCGCGACTCGACGACGGTTAGCCTCAGATCAGCGGGAAGCCCAGACCAGCTGCAGGCGCCCCAGCCCCAGGACCGTTTCGGGGGACCCCTTGACCGCCCGGCACCAGCGCGCAAAGGGCCCCTCAGCCCGCGACGGGGGGCCTTGCCCCGCTCCCAACCGCGCTGCCGGCGCCTGGCCTCGAGCTCCAGAACACGAGCAGAGCCGTCGGTGGGCGGGACGCTCCCGAGCCAGCCCGGAAGCCCAGGGCGCCAAGACTCCAGGGTACCCCTGCTGGGGAAGCTGTGCTCCGAGTGCCAGCCCGCGAGGACTCCCAGGGCTCTCCGCAGAAGGGTCCAGCGCCGGCTCCCTTGGCCCAGCAGCCCGGCCGGCAGCCTCCGAGACCCGCCCCCGCCCCTCGACAGTAGCGGGCGGCGGGGACGCCCGGGACGCGGGACGGCTGAGCCATGACCGCCGAGAGCCGGCCGCCGCCGCCGCCGCCTCAGACGGAGGTGCTGGCGGCCGTGAAGGAAGAGCGCGGCGAGGCGGCGACCGGGGTCCCAACGGAGGCCGCGGGTCGCGGCACCGGCGGGCGTCGGCGGAAGCGCCCCCTGCAGCGCGGAAAGCCACCCTACAGCTACATTGCGCTCATTGCCATGGCCATTGCGCACGCGCCGGAGCGCCGCCTCACGCTAGGCGGCATCTACAAGTTCATCACGGAGCGTTTCCCCTTCTACCGCGACAACCCCAAAAAGTGGCAGAACAGCATCCGCCACAACCTGACGCTCAACGACTGCTTCCTCAAGATCCCGCGCGAGGCTGGCCGTCCAGGCAAGGGCAACTACTGGGCGCTCGACCCCAACGCCGAGGACATGTTTGAGAGCGGCAGCTTCCTGCGCCGCCGCAAGCGCTTCAAGCGCTCGGACCTCTCTACTTACCCAGCCTACATGCACGACGCGGCCGCCGCCGCCGCCGCTGCCGCCGCCGCCGCCGCTGCCGCCATCTTCCCGGGCGCAGTGCCCGCTGCGCGCCCGTCTTACCCCGGCGCCGTCTACGCAGGCTATGCCCCGCCGTCGCTTGCGGCGCCGCCCCCGGTCTACTACCCGGCTGCGTCGCCAGGACCATGCCGCGTCTTCGGCCTGGTGCCTGAACGGCCACTCAGTCCAGAACTGGGCCCTGCGTCGTCGGGGCCCGCGGGTTCCTGCGCCTTTGCCTCGGCCGGCGTCTCCGCAGCCACCACCGGCTACCAGCCTGCAGGCTGCGCGGGGGCCCGACCCGCCAACTCCGCCTATGCGGCCGCCTACGCGGGCCCTGATGGCGCGTACCCGCAAGGGGCAGGCAGTGCCCTCTTCGCAGCGGCTGGCCGGCTGGCGGGGCCCGCCTCGCCCCCCGCGGGTGGCAGCAGTGGTGGCGTCGAGACCGCAGTGGACTTCTATGGGCGCACATCGCCCGGCCAGTTTGGAGCGCTGGGGCCTTGCTACAATCCTGGTGGGCAGCTCGGAGCGGGCAGTGGAGGCGCCTATCATGCTCGCCATGCGACTGCCTATCCTGGCGGGGTGGATCGCTATGTGTCCGCCATGTGAGCCGAGCTTACGGTCGAAAATTCATAGATACCTCGGCTGTCCACATGAACTAAGTTTCCCTGAGACCTGAGAACAGGACTGAAGAGAGGATTTGAGAGCCACGTGGAAGGGACAGAGAGGGCAGGAGAGGCACAGCCTCCCAGTGCACCGCGTACACTCCGGTTCGCTTTGGAAGTGGGAGGAGGGGGGGGGGCGGCGGGGGCCCACGGACTGGGACAAAGGACCCTCAATAAGGCGAAGCTCCAAAGGACGTGCCTTTCTGACATTCTACTGGGGAGGTCCTTGGCGATAATGGGGGCGCAGAGTAGTGCCTACACCAGAGTCTAGGATCCGAACCGTGGGGAATCACCATGTCTTCACCCATCCCTCTCTTGCAAGAAATTCAGTCCGGCCTTTTACACCGTTCTGCTTCTCGCGCCTTTGATTACTTTACTACAGCAAAGGCTCCAATAGCGCCTTCCTTAAGGTGAGGAAGATGAATTTGCAAAAGAAGTAGCCCCCTCCTTTAAAAAAAACAAAAACAAAAACGGGAGAAATTTCTGCTTCGCTTGACCTGGGGCTGGTTTCCCCTGCCTTTGAGAACTGCAGACCTGGCTGGTAGTCTGGAGACTATGCCTCGGCTCCAGAGTGTGACCTAATCCCATCGCCCACACACACAGTCTCTTCCTCTGTCATACAGGAGGGCTGCAGGATCCGACCCCCTTATGGCCTTTAAGCACCCATCATCATGGCTGCTGCCACACATATCTGGCAGCATGGGCGGGCCACCCAGGCCCTAACCCTATTCCCAAGAACTGGAACCGAGTTCAAGACAAGCGCCTAACCTAAAGTCTCTGGATTGGTTCCAGGAAGCAATTATATTATAATTTCTCAAATCTTTTGAGCATGATGTGCTGATCATTCGGTAGCTGTTACTGCTAGGTCGTAAATTGGGTTTTCCAGTGAGGCAGGTAAAAATTCATGTGTCCATTGTCCACTCTTTCATTTCAGTAAGTGACCCTGCACCAAATTGGCAAACTAAAATTCAAAGAGACAACAGGACTCAGGGCAGCCCTTTGGTGACAGCTTTCAGGTTGTCGAGCTGGCTTTTCCATCCCTGGCAGCCTCTGCCATACAAAAAGGAAAGAGAAAAATTCATTGGGTCCGCCCGTGGAGTAAGCTTTAGAAAGACACTGGATTTTTAGCTCTCTTTTATATCTGTTTGTTTTAAGTTTAAGCATCGAGCTGACCAAAATCAGAGAAAACCCAACCACTTTCCCACCTTTCTCTAGAGATATCTCGTTAAGTTCTTATTCTGGAGCCAAAATTTCCAGGGTTAAATACTTCAGAGGCTCGGTATGCAGCTCTCAGGTAAACCCGAGTGTTCAGATGAACTGTGTTAATACAAATCTTTGATCAAGTGAGTTTTGGCAAGAGAAACTCAACACCTTTCTGAGTAGTTAACTTGCTAGCGAAGGGGTGGGGGGGGTGCGTGAGAAAGAAGACTGAAAACCATTGGTAATTTTTATTTTTAATCTCGGGAACTGTGCTCTCTTGTTCACAAAGACGTGAATGTGATTCAGTCCAGACGGGTATTTGTCTAAATGAGTACTGTCCAAAATAGAAACTACATGTGTAATTTAATTTTTTCTAGTAGCCACATTAATAAACAGTTGAGATTAACTCGTATGTTGTATTTAACCCAATATAGCCAAACTATTATTTCAACATATAATCAATATAAAAGTTTGTTGAGATATTTAACCTTTTTCACACTAAATCTTCAAAATCTGGAGTGCATTTGCACTCACAGCCCATGTACATTTGGACTAGCCACATGCCAAGTGCCAGTGGCACTATGTGGCCGATGGCTACCGTACTGGACTCTACAGGTCTAGATGCTGGTCCTTCCTGATTTCAGTGGTGGGTAAATGACCATCTGGAGGCAGGAGGTCGCTGGAGAACTGACCTTGCTGTCTGGGTCCAGATTCCAGATCCAGCCCTGCATCCTTGCAAAAGTCGAGGTGTTGGGCCTCTCTCATCTCTATATAGACCCTTGCAGGTATGAAATGCAAAGGCTCTCCATGGGCGTGCTAGACAGTCTGGCTCTCCCAGCCCAGAAGTCAAGATGCCTTGCCTCGCTGGTAGCAGCCGTAAATTGAGAGACCTTCACTCAGGGGTTTTGTCCTTGGCTAGCAAGGGCCCAGCAGCGGTATTTGGGCTGGCAAAGGGCGGTCTATATGCCCAGTTAGTGCGGTAGTTGACCTTTGGTTTCTTTTTTAACTACCAAGTCGAGTGCGTTGGCCATTAACCTTAAGTCCCTTTTCCTCCAGTGTCCACTTTTGTGAATGGGAATTTGTGACTCCTACCGCGGAGTGCCCTTCTTAGGCTACAGGGGACAAGAGAGGTGAAAAGTGCTTGTGAACTATAAAGTGCGGGGCACAGGAGGGCTTTAACGTTTTAAAGCGCCCCTTATCGCGAGGCCTCCTGGAGCCTGGGGGTAAAGCTCCGGGAGCGGGAAGGATGGGGTGGGAAAGTGCATGCGTCTCGGCACCCTCTCCCCAGTTTGTCGCATAGAACCTCAGGTGAGATGTTGTCCAAAGACAGGGGCTGTGCCTGGAGAAAGGATGCCTCTAGGAGGGAACTGGGTGTGTGCAGCGGGAGCCGGGAGAAGACTGGGAGACGGGCGAGGTGCAGCCCTTCTCGGCCTCTTTCGGGCCGCACCAGACGCTCGCGCGCCACCCGGCCTGCCTGGAATGGACGCTGCGCAGGCGAGGGAGCGCCGCTGCGGCGTCAACCGCAGCCGAGCCAGCGGGCAGACCCTGCAGTCCTCGGGACTCTAATCTTGAGAACATTTCACTGCAGCGTCTTGGAACAATCCAACTCTAAGAATCCCCAAGCCATGGAAGAGGGCCTCTCGGTTTCCCCATTTGGGAGCTCAGAATCGGGAGGCGCCTTTCTCTTTATTTTTTTCTTCTTCCTATTCATGAAAGTAGAAAAATCGTTTGCCCCTCTCTGGGCCCTGCACCCCAGCGTCGTGTGCAGGCGCCCCCGGGCTGTGGGCAATTAGATGCGTTCTTCCCTAATTGCCCAAGGCTCGTTAGAATTCGCCCCAGAGCTGTAACATTTATTTTCTT